TGTGCCCAAAAACTGATGAAAAAGAAAGTTGTTGGGTTTTTTTGTTTTGGTTTGGTTTTGGTGTTTTTGTTGTTGTTTTTTTTTTTTTTTTCTGCTAGGTAGAACCTTTCTACACTTGACCTGTGTTGGAGTTTGAGATGATCAATCACAATTTTATTTTTGTAGGATTAACATTTTCCTACAACAATAACTTATGTTCATAGTGATTTCTTATGCATGAAACCCTGATTACTTTCGTCATTCACTCCTTTGGGGGTATTTGCATTGTAGGGATATTCTGAGGTTGCTGAAATTCTTGTACCCAAACCCTAAATTCAGACGCGTGCTCCCGATCATCACAGGACTCTGCCACATTCATGTGACTTCCACCCTCTGAAGGGGTACTCCCAGCTCCTTTTTCTAAAACATTAACCATTTTTCTTGGAAATGACCATTGCTCCTTCCCCTCAAGGCTCACCCTCCCCGGGGCTGGAGGTGAAAATAAGAGAAGTGAAGAGTCACCAGGTCTTAGACCGAGAGTCCTGCCCCGCTGGGGTAAAGTAGGAATTCCTTAGGAGGAGGAGAAGCAGGCTTGCAGGGGCTGGTAGCTGGGTATGGCAGCAAGAAAAGAAAGTAAGATGCAGTGAACTTTTCAGAGTCTCCAAGACAGCCGCTCGCCAAGGTTGAGAATACGTGCCGTCGCTGTGTTGGGACCCTGCACACCCCAGCCGTGGGCCCGGCCCCCCAGCTGCGCTGCCGCCTCGCCCCGGCATGCCTGAAGACTCTATCCCCAGCCCATTTCAGTTTACCTATTATTGAATTTTATCATGCGTTTCTTACAATCCTGTGTGTATTCCTTGGCCTTCCCTGCTGGAATATAAGTCCTTAAAGTTAGGAAGTATTATGAACATGATTAGTATTTGTATCCCCAGCACAAAAGGAACAACACTTAATATGTTCTAAATTTTTTTTAATAAATAAATGTGTAGTAAGGTATTTACCTTTGCCCAAAAAGAAGTGTTGACCTTTGGCCTCAGCTGCTGGGAGGTCACTCTCAGCCCTTGGAAGGTCATGCGTGATAGAGATATGTTTTCCCCGGGGGCTTTGAGCCAGCCAGATGGTAATAGTGTGATGAGGGGCAGGGGCTTTGGGCCACACACATCAGCTGGCCCTCCAGAAGGGAAGGAGCCTGAGATGGGCCACACAGAAGGCCAGCCACCCTGACGTGATGGACCTCAACGAGGCCTCTGGACATCAAGGCTGGGGGCTCCCCTAGCTGACAAGGGGATACGGGGAAAGCCACCTCATCCTGACTCCATGGGGAGGACCAAGGAAGCTCCATACTTACTACTTTCCTGGACTCTGTCCCCTGCACCTGCTCCCTCCCTCAGTGGATCCCAATCTGTGTTCTTTTTCTGTAATAAAATGTAATTATGAACAAAACAATGTTCAATGAGTTCTTGGGTCCTTCTAAAGAATTATCAAGACTGGGGGTGGTCTTGGAGACCCCTGACTTACAGTTGGTGTCTGAGAGGAAGTGGTCTTGTGGGGACGGTCACTCCAAACCCCATCGTTGGTAACCTTGAAGCGAGTGATAGGAGAATCTAATTCAGAGTAATTATTCAGGCTTTACAAAGTCTTCCATCTGGTTACCCTCAGACATCAAAGAAAAACTGGAAAGGAAAAGTAGAATTAAATTGGTGTGTTGGTTTGAAGCAGTGGTTCAGTTTTCATTTAAATTTAAGAATAGGCTTGGGCGCCTGGGTGGCTCAGTCGTTCAGCGTCTGCCTTCGGCTCGGGTCACGATCCCAGGGTCCTGGGATCGAGCCCCGCATCGGGCTCCCTGCTCGGCGGGGAGCCTGCTTCTCCCTCTCCCACTCCCCCTGCTTGTGTTCCTGCTCTCGCTCTCTTGCTCTCTCTCTGTCAAATAAATAAATAACAATCCTTTAAAAAAATAAAATCCTTAAATTTAGGAATAGGCTTGTAAATAAAGCATACACCGTAAAAACTTCTCTGTGAAAACAGAGAAGCTTCCTTAATGGGAAGAGCATTGAAGAAATAGTAATAGTGATTGAAAATAGAGTTTCTGGGGTTAATAAGATTTAATAAGACAAGATCCCTGAGGGAGAAGCTCAAATATTATAACTTTAAAAGACAGGAAGTAAAAAACAATCCAGTGTTTTAGAAATAAGGGAGATAAGTGTGCACAAAGAAAAAGAAGCAGAATTTTAAATTCTGTTATTTTTATTTCCTATATTTATAAAGGAAAACATGTAGTTATTAATGTTTGTGTTATCCATTGAGTTAGGATATCTATTATTTAGAAGGTTTTTGGTATAAGCTGAAATCTGCAGTTACGGGGTAGCTTTGAAAGTCTGTCAAAGTCCTCAGTGTGTTGTGAGAAACACATTTGAGCAGCTTACATCCCTGAAGAGTTAGTTGCCAGCTTTTCTGGGTGTCCCCGTGTGCCGATGGCAGTCACAGGGATGAGGCAGGCAGCCTCCAGGCGCCCTACCTGGGGCTGGCCGTATTGGCCGTGTCGAAACGTCTCATGCCCCCGAGGAGCCAGCCACAGGGAGGCTACACTGGCGAGTCCTCGTCCATAGAAGGCATCACTATGGGGGTGCCCACTGGGACATTCCCACAGTCTGGAGGCTTGGAAGACTCTCCAAAGTCCCCTTTTAGGAAACAAATAGACAGGTGAACCTGCCTGATGCAGAGATGGGTAATATGTGGGTTGGTGGTCCAGCTGGAAAGGAAAACTCTGAGTCAAATCACCTGAAATACCAGGTAAATCAATGGCCCTGGTGGGCTTCTAGAGACGTGGGCTTTTTCTGACACAGCAGTGAACTGTGGCCAATCGGGAGGCAGCAGAACAACATGGTCACAACCCTGGGCACTGGATGGAATCTGGGCTGGGAGGACCCTGCTCCTGCCATTTCCTGGCCTGTGACCTTGAGCAAATTACCGAACCTCTCTGGGCCTCCTCCTCTTCATCCATAACATAAAGCTTAAAATTGTACCTACTTCAGTTCATTGCTGCGTGTTTCACCGTGATAACATGGGTGAGTGCGTGGTGGTGCTGGACACCAGACAAACATGCAGCAAACCTTAGTGGCTATTACTGCTGAGACGTTTCTAGGTCTAAAGTCAGGTCTCAGAAGGGAAGACAACAGAGCATCCTAGAACTGATGATCGACACAAAAGGGAAGCACTATGTTGGGAGCGAAAGGAGTTCTGTTGAAATCACATGGAGATTAACAATGACAACTGCAAATGGATCCGGCACCCACGGTGCCCCAGGTGTGGTGGGAAGGACTTTACCTGTAGAACCTCCGACACTCATCGTGACCCTGCAAGGAGGTGCTCTCATCATTTCTCACTCAACAGGCTGGTACACAGATGTTCCTTTGCCTCCCCCAAATTACACTGCTGCTAAGTGGAGAAACCAGAGTTAGAATGAAAATGTATTTGACTCCAGAGCTCAAACCACACTAAACAGAACCAAGATAAGTGAGGCTCAACAGTGGGTCAGGACCCAGATGAGTGAAGGTCAACAGTGGATCAGGACCCAGGTGAGTGAGGCTCAACAGTGGGTCAGGACCCAAGTGAGTGAGACTCAACAGTGGGTCAGGACCCAGATGAGTCAAGGTCAACAGTAGGTCAGGACCCAGATGAGTGAGGATCAACAGTGGGTCAGGACCCAGGGGAGTGAGGCTCAACAGTGGGTCAGGACCCAGGTGAGTCAAGGTCAACAGTGGGTCAGGACCCAGATGAGTGAAGGTCAACAGTGGGTCAGGACCCAGGTGAGTGAGGCTCAACAGTCGGTCAGGACCCAGATGAGTGAGACTCAACAGTGGGTCAGGACCCAGATGAGTCAAGGTCAACAGTAGGTCAGGACCCAGATGAGTCAGGGTCAACAATGGGTCAGGACCCAGATGAGTCAAGGTCAACAGTGGGTCAGGACCCAGGTGAGTCAAGGTCAACAGTGGATCAGGACCCAGATGAGTCAGGGTCAACAATGGGTCAGGACCCAGATGAGTCAAGGTCAACAGTGGGTCAGGACCCAGGTGAGTCAAGGTCAACAGTGGGTCAGGACCCAGATGAGTCAGGGTCAACAGTGGGTCAGGACCCAAGTGAGTCAGGGTCAAGGATGGGCCAGGACCCAGGTGAGTCACGGTCGAGAATGGGCCAGAACCAAGGTCAAGCATGGTCCACAATGGGAAGGGATGACTGGATTCATTTAATATCTCATGATCTTGACTTTCTGGTGGAATCTATGCATCTTGACCAGCCATCAATTTTATTTTGTTCTCAGGGCCAACGGAGGCCCGCAGGTCTAGATCCTAATCCAGGTCGTGTAGGAGGGAGGGGAAGGCTCCTCAGCAGAAAATAAAATTTGACAAAATAAGAGGACGATCGAAAATGGTCAACCGTGAGGGAGATAACTGGGCCACCAGAGCGTCCTCTGTGATGTCAGGGACCAGATCTGAGTGCCCGTGCATGAAATGGAGCCCCGTGCAGGAGAGGCTCAGTAAGTGTCCTTCCTCCAGAAGAGGAGCACTTCCCCACGAGGCAAACTCAAACTAGAGAAGCCTTTGGTTTGCATCATTATTTTAACTGTATAAAGACAAGACGTCCTGGTGTGATGAAGCCCCTCAGGCTCCGTGGCCAGTAGCCACGGACGCGCACCTGTGCCCACCCAGACATTCAGGACATGGTCGTTCCAGCGAAAGGCCAGATGATGTGAAGTGAAACACAGTTTCCCCTTTTTAGGGCAAAACAAAACTGCCAGGGTTTTTTCCCTCCCCGCCGATCCTCTTTCCCCAAACAAATTTTAGTTTGCTTTTGACTTTATCCCGATGCTGGTTCAGTACTTTTTCTTACTGAGAAAATGCAGAACTCACAGATCCTGTGACAGGAAAAAGCCCGTGTCTTTCACTTTGTGGGAAGGAGCATTCCCCAAAGCCCCGGCTCTCTGTGCTCTGCTACTTTAAAGTGGAGTCCGGCAGGATCGGCGACATGCCCCCCGCCAACTGCTCGGCGCCCAGCGTCGTGGTGGAGGCGTCTGTGGCCACGCTGCTCCTGCTGGAGGGCGGCCTGGGCCTTCTGGGCAACGCCGTGGCGCTGTGGACCTTCTTCTTCCGCCTGCAGGTGTGGAAACCCTACGCCGTCTACCTGCTCAACCTGGTCGTGGCCGACCTCCTGCTGACCTTCTGCCTGCCCTTCCACGCTGCCTTCTACCTGAGACACAAGACGTGGAGCTTTGGACACGCGTCCTGCCAAAGCCTGTTCTTCCTGCAGGTCCTCAGCCGCGGGGCGGGCGTCGCCTTCCTCACGGCCGTGGCTTTAGACCGGTACTTCCGGGTGGTCCACCCCCGGCTGAAGGTCAACCTCGCGTCCCCCCGGGCGGCCTGGGGGGTGTCGGGCTTCATGTGGCTGCTGCTGCTTGGCCTCACCCACCAGAGCCTGTTCGTCTCGGAGGCCGCGTGCCCGGGTCTGGAGCCTGCGGGAGAAGTCTCCTTCAGCATCATTTGGCAGGAAGCACTGTTCTTCCTGCAGTTTGTCCTTCCCTTTGGGCTCATCCTGTTCTGCAACGCCAGGATCCTCAGGACCCTCCAGAGGTGCCTCCGAGACCCGGACAAGCAGCCCAAGCTGCAGAGGGCCCGGGCGCTGGTGACGGTGGTCGTGGTCCTGTTCGCCGTGTGCTTTCTGCCCAGCTTCCTGGCCCGGATCTTGGTGGCCGCCTTCCGCAGGGTGGGCGGCTGCGGGTTCCTGGGAGCGATGGTGCACGTGTGCGACGTGACCAACGGCCTCACCTACCTGCAGAGTGTGCTGAACCCGGTCGTGTACTGCTTCTCCAGCCCCGCGTTCAGATACTCCTACCGCAAGGTCTTCAACACCCTCAGGGGCCGAGGGAGGGAAACCGAGGCCCCGGGGGACATCAAAGACTCCTACTCTTGAGGCCAGCCAGCCGCCGGGCCCCGGGGCGCAGGAAGGGCAGCGGTCTGAGCGCTAAGGACCACCGCTGAGGGTTGCGGGGCGAGGACACCCCGGGGCCGCGCCACAAGGATCGGGACCCCCACATCGGCACTGTGGCCGTGCTCTCACACACACCATCTTCTGGATTTCCGTCAGCTATTCTGCATGACCGGACAGAGCAGATTAGCAAGCCAGAGTCTCCTCTCCACCCGCGACAAGGCAGACTGAGCAGCTGACCTGGAAGCCGGCTACGGCTGCGCTCTCACGGAAGGTGTTCTCATGGGTCCGTCATGGGAGGATGAAGGCGGAGAGGGGCACCACTCTTGCTGCGTCTGCTCTTGGTGAGTCGTCTGCTTGCACTCTCCAGAGAGTCTGCTCTCTCCACCTGCCGCACACACTTGTGATGACTGGCCCCGGAGAGTGGCACGCGGCACTGCAAGGCCACGTTTGGGGGGCGTACCTTATTGAGTTCCATGCTCGGCTCCGGCTGGCACATAGTGTTTCCTGTTTATAACATTTTGCTTCATTTGCATGGATGGTACATGATGCCAAAGACAACACTGTTCCCTAGTTTATTATAAGAAACACGTTCCTACTAAATTTCTCAAAATTGCCACCAGAACTCCTCTCTCGAGTTTGAATGTCTAAATGCTTTTGAAACTCACTTTGCTTCCCTGCTCTGAGAAGTCACTGTAGTCAATGCCCCGGGAGGCCACACAGAGCCGGTGGGCCCACCTGAGCCCAGCCCCCAGCGCTCCTGCAACAGCCCCATGGTCTCATGTCATGCTCTTAAATTATGCCCACGTCTGGAGCTCACGATGGTGACAACAGAGTTTGGAGGTTGCCTACCTGACTGCCTTGTCTTGTTCTCTTCAAACCTGGTGCTGTGGCCCCCAAAAGGGACTCCCCAAAATGCGTAGAGGAGGCACAGGGTCTAGTTTGTGAGGAGGCCCACACCTGTGGCCTGGAGCTGCACCTGCCTTGTCCACACGGACAGACCACTGCTCTTCCCCGGGCCGCCCCATGATCTTGGTAAGATTCAGGGTGAAAAGTGGGGACCTTAGGCCAGAGGAAATGGCAATCCCACCTTCTGGATCGTTCGCCTACCAGGTAGGCTCCGTCTCGGACCCAAGTTTAAGATGTGAGTGTGTTCCTGTTCCTGTGCTCCGCCTAACACGGTTCCCAGAGGATGGCAAATGCGCTCAGCGATCCTGGGCCACGGTTAGCAGGTTTCATGTCCTCCAGAGTGAGTGGAATTTCAGGTGGCTGGTACGGAGCTGTGACCAGACAATAATGCGGGAGGTCCTAATAAAATTCTCTGCCCTGGACACAGTCTGCACTGCGCCTGTCTTCTTGCCGTGGGCTCACTGCACATGCCATTGTACACGATGCTGCTTTTAAAAAATCTAACATTTAACATAAATTCAATTAAACATAACATTTTCCACCTCATGATAAACTCTCCACAGTCTTTCTCTCCTTGATCCCTCAATAATCTGTCCAGATGTTTCTTAACCATTTCTCTGAGGCTGGACACCGAGATCTGCAGCCCTCCGCACAGGTAAATCGGGCTGTGAAGTCACACAGCCCCCCAACAGACCTCAGGCCTGGGAAGCCAGCCCACACCGGCCGCCCGAACAGGCTCCGGCCCAGCGCCAGGCTCTGCGGAACCTTCCCAGCACGGCTGTCTCCGGGCTCCTTGCTGGGTGAGCCAGCCTTGTCCAGGAGCTCAGCAGCCGGCCGCACTTCCCACCGATCCCTGCCCGTTAGCCTGGCGACCGGGGGTCTCATCCCAGCAGAGCCCCGGCCCTCCTCTCTGCTCCTGCCGCCCAGCAGGTGGGGGACCCAGGATCTCTCAGAACACCCTGATGCCTGGGCCAAGCCCGATGTTCTGGCTTGGTCGTCTGGGGGGTCCCAGGGCACCAGGGTTTTTAAGCCCCTCTTTAATCCTGTGAATGCGCCGCCAGAGCTCTCTGCCTGGGGTGAGTGGCCACGGTCAGGGCCCTTGGGTCAGCTTCCTGCTCTGTCGCTTCCTAGCTCTGTGACCCAGGACAAACCACGCAACTGCTCTGAACTTCCCTTGTCTGGTGAAATGGGGGTAACAAACCCTGACCTGTGGGGTTATCGCACGGTTTAGGGGAGATAATACATGAGATGTTGAGCACAGAGCCTCGCACAGCATCAGCACCTAGTAGATATTACTCTGCCATTCTCAGGCAGTCGGGCTTTTTCACCCACTTTGTTTCCATCCCCGAGCAGACTGTGCGCCCTTCGGGGGGACACAGCGGTTTACCCGTGCGCCCCCAACACAGGGCCGGGAGCGGGACAGGCAGTCAGTGAACTGGAGGTCACAACATTCTGCTGACTCAAAGGTTTGCTAGGGTTGTTCTTCCCAAGAAATACTTTCCAGATCTTCTATGAGCATTCTGTCGGCCTCGAGTTTCATTCTGCACGTCTGTGGAAAGGGACACCGTTTCTGTAGTTGGCAGGTCCCAGGTCCAGCGAACCCTCGCCTCTGAGGACGTTTCTCTGGCATCGTGTCCTGTCACTCCCATCACAGAAGCCCCGCGAGTTCTGCATCAGACAGTTGTCTTCTCTGACGACATACGGGGGAGGAAGGGGGCTCTTGTCCTTCTCCAAACTATTTTCTCTGAGTGAGGAAATGAGTCAGAAGGAAAGTGTGGGCAGGCAACAAAGGATGGGCCTCAGAACCACAGCTACTTTGCTGTCAATAGCAAGTTTTACTTTCTTTTCTCCTTTGACTTGCTTCTTACAATGCAGCAGGTGCACGGTCTCGTCTGCTATTCTTGCAAATCTCAGCATTGACTGGAAGGATAGCCAAGAGCCCGAATTTCAATCTGAGTGATGAGTTTCTTTCCCTATTCAGAGGAGACTGTCAGTGTTTTTAAATTCTGTTAATGTTGTCATTTTTTTTCCCCCAAAATCCAGTAGGTCCCTGATTCCTCCTTGGCTAAATCTAAGTCCTCCAAGTGCTGGGCATCGTACACAGAGCATTTGAATCTCTGTCTTACGACTTCCTACCCACCCTTTCTGGTCTAGCCCCTGAGACCAGCCCCTTCATAAAGCCCCCTGACAACACCCCCCAGCACCCCAACACACTCCCCTTGCCCTGCAGGCCGCCCTCTGGTGCTCACACCTGCTTTCCCCTCTGCGTCCCCTCCCTGAAGCTTGTATGTGTCCATGTATCTTTGTGTCCCCAGCAGGGTGCACGGGGCCTGGCACACAGCAGACGGGGACTACATTTGTGGGATCAATAACAAATACATGAACAAATTAATCTGATTTAAAGTTAACCAATTAACTTTATTAATCACATAATAGATTTTTTAAAAATATACTTTGAAATTCTAGATCCAGAGGCAAAGTTAAAGTATCTTTTTTTCCCCTAATTTTATTTTATTTTATTATGTTATGTTAGTCACCATACATTACATCATTAGTTTTTGATGGAGTGTTCCACGATTCATTGTTTTCGTATAACACCCAGTGCTCCAGTCAATACGTGCCCTCCTTAATACCCATCACCAGGCTAACCCATCCCCACACCCCCCTCCCCTCTAGAACCCTCAGTTTGTTCCTCAGAGTCCATAGTCTCTCACAGTTCGTCTCCCCCTCCGATTTCTCCCCCTTCATTTTTCCCTTCCTTCTCCTAATGTCCTCCATGCTATTCCTTATTATCATATTATCATATTTTCCTAGGACGACAAGAATACAAATGAAAATATGATAATCTTTCATATTTATTGGAGAAAGCTTTTCCTCTATATTTTCACAGTCTCTTCTGCCACTAATCAAGTCAACAATTTCGATTTATTTAGGGGTCAAGATAATGAACCGACTGCGTATCTGCCTGTGGGCTGGGTCGGGGCCATGAAGTGCGTCAGCGACTCTCAGAGGCTTCCAGAACACACCGCTAGTGTTCATGGACCCCCCAAGCACCGCCATCCTTGGAATGTCTCCCTTCTTACATTGTGGCAAAATACACATCATGTAAGGTTTGCCATCTTAACCGTCTCTCCTGCACAGTCCAACAGCAGGAAGTATCTTCCCACTGTGGTGCCTCCATCACCACCGTCCATCTAGAACTTTCCATCTTCCCCAGCTGAAGCTCTGACCTGTCCAGCGCTGAGCCCCACCCCTGCCCCAGCCCTGCCACGCACCTGGCTCTTTCTGTCTCTGGGGATGGGACAGCCGCAGGGACCTCGTGCGAGTGGGTTGTGCGGCGTCTGTCTTTCTGTAACTGGCTTATCGCCCCCCTCCCCCGCACCCGTCCCCTGCCCGTGGGGCGTCCATCTCCTGCCCTCCCAGCCCGGGCCCCAGCGATGCCCTTCTCCCAGAGGCTGCCCCCCTCCTGGACAACCCCGTCCGCTCCCTCCCCTCCTTCATACAGGTGGTGTGAGGGTGTAGACGGTCTACACTCCACACAGAGTGTCCTGTGCTTCTGTAACACACCGCGGCCCCAAATAGTAGATGCACCAATGGAGTCTCAATAATAAGTCATTTTCATTTGCAAAACCTGTGGGGTAAGCAAGGAAAGTACTATTTCCCCATTTGCAGGTGAGCAAACTGGCGATCTGCGGGGTCAGGGGTATGGTGGGGCCGCAGGTCACCGGTGGGCAAGACCGTGACGCGGGCCTGGGCCGAGCCGGTCGGGGTCTCTCCGGGACGCTCTCGGCCTTATGCCTTTCTCTTGGGCTTTCACTGCTTACTTATAATTTGATTTTCCTCCTATCTGGTGGCATCCCAGTAACTGGCCATCTAGGAGAAAAGATGTGGCGTTTGCTAAGCACCGCGGGGTTCGTGGCAGGCTCGCCAATTCCAGAACATTCCACAGCTGAGTCACCAGCGCAGCACCGCTGTGCCCCCTCGTGTCCCCTTGCGATCTGGTGTCGGTCCCTGAGAATTGCGGTCCCCTACCATTCGCGGGTACCCCCCTGCAGGCAGGGCCCAGAGGCACGAAGGCACACACAGAATTCCCTGCAGGTGCGCGGAGCAAGTAGACACTGTGGTCCTGGGCCCACAGGAGCCCCGCACACCCACTCGTCGTGGAAAAGCTTCGTGGGCACCCCGTGGGGACTCGTGGAGACATCCACAATGAAAGCTTTTGGTAAAGGTTCCCGAAGGCCGGCCAGATCCAGGCACCCGGAAGAAACTCAGGGAGAGGCTCTGAGGGCTGAGCTGTGGTAACTAGAGGACGTCGGGAGGCAAGCCCTGGGCTCCCTGCTCACGCCTCCTGGGAACCCAGGAGACTGTCCTCCCGTCTGGGGGCTGTTAGCGACGGTGCCCGTGTCCTCAGAAATCCAGGGCTTCCCGTGACGGAGCCGGCAGCATGTCTCCAGGAGGCGAACTGAGAATATTAAGTGAAAGGAAAACTTACAAATGCCAGAGACATTAACCAAAAACTGCTGCACGGCTCCCCTTTTATGTTTTTATTCCCAAAGTACACCGTAACATGGAACAGTTTTCCCTGTTCCAGTTGCGGATGGCAACAGGAATACTTGGCCCAAACGATAGTCTTACTAAGTTAAACTGACTGAATACAGCACAGGAGGACCTGGGGAAAGAGGCTGGGTTCACAGTGTCATGAGCGCCACGGTTACAAATTTCCTTCCTTCCTTCTGTCTGTCTGTCTGTCCTTCCTCCCCTCCCGCACCCCGGGTGCTCTGGCTTCTCTCCCACCAGCTGGGGAGACCGATGGGCGGCATTTCCGAGCCCAGGAGCGCTCCCGGCCCCAGACTGTGGCCCCAGAGAACACCCGGGAATCTTCCCTCCGTCAGTCCATCGGTCCGTCAGTCCGTCAGTCCGCCCGGGGAAGGAGCGCAGAATGCTTTCTGCACTTTCACTCACAAAGGACGGTTGGCCTGATGAGCCACCTTGAATCCGGGGCACTGAGCCGTGAGGTCCCCACCACCATCCCCACTTGGCACCTGCAGCGGCTTCCGAGAACAAGCACGTGGGGGGCACTGGGGGGCGGCGGACGGCCAGGGGGGCGGGGGCCCCACAGACAGGTTCGCGTGTGTGGCAGGCGGCCGTGTGCGGGAGAGGAAGGGCGAAGCAACAGACCCACACCTCGGGGGCCCTGCACAAGACACCCACAGAGCCAGCGGCAGGGGGCAGGGGGCCCGGGCGCGCCTGCTGCGCAGGGCTGCTCAACGACACTCTGTAACCCGCTGCCCGAAAGCTGCACTTCGGCCCACAGACAGATTCTGATTGGCTCACAAGGCTCACAATTGTCATACTATGTGCAGTTAAAAAAAAAAACAAAACCACATTTTTAAAAGTCTGGATTTCCAGCTCTT